TTGGTGTAAAGCGGGAAATATCACATAGAGGTCACATATCATCTTGCCCGGTTTAAATACAATACTCACGTGTAGGCCCCCCAACAGACACTACAAGAAGGGGCTTAGGCAGCCATGCCATCTCATCATGCCAAGCAAAAGCTGCATTTCTCAAGGCATCAGAATCAGCCCTGTGAAGGGCCCCCACTGTAAGGACCTACACATAAAAATTAAATCTTGGCAAAAAGCCCTCTTAACCTATGCAAACTCAAATTGGCAGACAACTGATGAAAGAACATACCACATTTTTGTCCGGAGGATTCCGAGGTGTCACCCACCTTCTTAGAAAGAATGGGATTTGTTCCTGTGCCTCTGGCATCAACGGGTAATAATCGTGTTCAGGTGTTATCACGAGATCAAATCGATTCAGACGAGATCGTGGATGTTGTATCTGCAATGAAAAAAGGGAAAGAGAAAAAAAAAAAAAAAATAGTCAGAGATATACAGCAAATTGGGAAAGAAACTCCAGAAATATCTCCCACCATTATATGAATGAAGATACTTCATCCAACTCCTTTTGTTCACATTAGCATGTCCAAAGGTGAGATGATTATAACAATATAAGTAGAATACAAAGATAAACATTCCCAATTTTCTTAGAAGTAATGGAACAAAACCTGAACAAGAAAAACATTTTGGGGAGCCAACCGCTTAACAGAACTTGCAACAGCAATGGTATCACGACCCGAAGCAACCACCAAAAGCGGGCCATCCCTAAATACGTATCCTCACATGATTGGTACTTATTAACTTATAATCACAATTCATATCAAACTGCAACGTTCAAGAACAGAACAAAATATGACATGTTGCAAGCAGAAAAAAGTTTTATGCACCTTTTCAACGTCTCTTGAGCCAATTTGGCTATACTCGTTGCATCCGCCTCCAAAACATCTGAGGCCACAAACCATTCAGCGAGCCACAAAAAGAATTTAGGAAAACTTAAAAATATAAATCAGGTGATAAGTAGTTAAAATCACCCTTCCCTTGAGATGGAAAAGGTACCACTTGCTTTCCACTAATCCACTTAATGGCGTGATCCAATCGTTTGTGAACGGAAACCGGCAGCCAATGAAGCCTTTCGTTGATTCCCCCTCTCGGCCGACTAACACGCTGCAAAAATGCAAATGTCCAGCAAAAGAATATGAAAACACATCAACTTCAAAGATGAACATGAGCAAATTTGTCTTACAGACAGTAAAACATTAAAAGAATGAATAATCATCATCAGAAAAATCAGAAAAAAAAAATAAAAAAATAAAAAAAATAGCCCACAGCAGATTGAACAACACTCATTCAACATAATCCAATATCAATTAATTCGAGAAGATACTGAACAACATCCTGCGACAACTTTTCGATTAGAACGAACAATTTAACCGCCATTTGCTTACATATAGAATGTAATTGTTAGAGAGGCCCAAAGCTCGAACCAAGCCAATGCACTGGTTTTCAGCACCGGCAAAACCGTTGCCGATAATAACGGCCCTCCTGATTGCTCGCATTGAGTTCTTCACAAATTTCTCACTAGCTAGGGTTTAGGGTTTTTGTGGGTCACACCATTAAAGAGGCATGAAGTAGCAGAGTTGAGCTGAGCTGAGCTGAGCTGATAGTTTACACTTTACACAACCTGTGAGAAAGTAGCTTACTAAAATTGGTCAAAAAAAAGGGAAATTCAAATTTTATATTATTTAAATAAAAATTAGTTCATCTTACTCTTTCTACATATCACACTAATGAAATCAAAAAATTTAAAAGTAATTATTGATATATATATTTTCATTATTTTGTTACCATAGCAATCTCAATCATTATATTTTTTTATTTATGTAAGATCTATCTCAATTTCTTTAAATATATTTCTTTTTTTACATTTAATCTTCAAATGAGATATTTTTTTTTAAATCTTATAATCGTTCACTGTTTTATAAAAAAAATCTCATTTTATATTTTTATTTCTTAATATTTTTTCTATGGTTTTTAAAAAGAAAACCCTTCACTTTTCTTTTATCGCAATTCTTCTCTTTATTCTTTTTCGTTTTTCTTTGTGTTCTTTTCATTTCAAGAGAGTTTTCCAAATCTATCATCTATACTTATATTAAAGGGGGTATTATTTACCAAATTAAGTAGCCAGAAAAGTCAACAACATTTATTGCATTACTATTTTCGTATTATATTATATAAAAAATATTCTATTTACTACATTTATTATCCAGAAAAGTCAACTGCATTAAATGTCATTACTATTTTGGTATTATAATATTTTATTTATTTAATTGATTTATTTATTTGTTTTATTTTAAAAAGGTAAGTATAATAAAAAGATTTTAATAATAAAAAAATTAAATACCAAATAAAAATGTACACTTTGACTTATTTGATTATATTTGGTATTTGATTATACCAAATATATTCCTATTTGGTATATACATTAAATACTTACTAAAGTATTTATTTGTTTTATTTGTCAAAGTTAAGTATAGATATGTTTATATTATCAAATCATAAAAAATATTAAATCCATATTGTAAAAAAAAAAAATT